CGGCAACGTACGGACCCGAACACCCCAATTCCCTACAACTTCTGGTTTCTTAGACTACCACGTAATACAGAAACGCGAACAGCGGGAGCCACTAGTAGGCTCCTTCAGCTGAGTTGAAGACCAAAATACTAGTGAGCACTACAAAGACTTGTTCTCATGAACCTTGTGCTCTCAGACCCCACACTACGTGCGCCGACACGCTGCGCGAAGAATCTTTACGTCCAAAACACGACGCGACTTATGCTTACACTCGCTCGACAGTCCCTACCCGTTACGTGCCGAACCAGGGCCTATGATAAAACCGGCCCGGCCCGTTTTGTCGTCAGCCCGGCCCGCACGGGCCGGGCCGGGCCGGGCCGGCCCCCAATTCTGCAAGTATGATATTCAGACTCAACGAGAAAGTGCAAGTGAAACGACTCGATCAGGAGAACGGTCAGATTCATCGCTTCAACAAATCGCCGTGTGGAGTTTGGGCTCACGTCGTGCACAAGGATCAGGAGCACAAGTTTTTGGAGTTCTTCAAGGTAATTTGGCTCTTCTACTCTCGAGACGCAGACAACTAGACGCTCTCGCTGTCTGCGTCTCTCCCCTTCCCGTTTTTGTGAGACGCAGACGTGTAGACACTCTAGGTGTCTGCGTCTCTCCCTTCCCGTTTTGTGAGACGCAGACATCTAGACACTCTCGCCGTCTGCGTCTCTCCCCCTTCCCGTTTTGTGAGACGCAGACGGCTAGACACTCTCGCCGTCTGCGTCTCTCCCCTTCCAGTCTTGTGAAACCCAGACATCTAGACACTCTCGCCGCCTGCGTCTCTCCCCTTTCCCGTTTTGTGAGACGCAGACGTCTAGACACTCTCGGTGTCTGCGTCTCTACCTCATCAATTTTCAGAACGAAACGTGTGGTCTCCGTTGGCTCTGCAAGAAGTGCACGGACCCATTCGAGTACTGGTACTACCAGAATATCGCCCGTCGTGTGCACCAGGAGCCCGAGTGGTCCCTCAAATGCATCATGAAAAATGAAGATCAGGATATCGTTGATCAAGAATCTGAGGCCGATTTGAAGAAGATGGCCAAGAAATATGAGGAGGATGAGGCGAAAAAACCGAAAATTGTCTTGAAAGAGACGGAGAAATCGTGGGGATTTAAGAAGGTTAGTGAGAGACATCCGGATAGACAGATGGACAGATAGACAGACATCCGGACATCCGGATAGACAGATGGACAGATAGACAGACATCCGGATAGACAGATACACAGACATCCGGACATCTAGATAGACAGATAGACAGACATTCGGATATCTAGATAGACAGATAGACAAACATACGGACATCTGGATAGACAGACAGATAGACAGACATCCGGACATCCGGATAGACAGATGGACAGACATCCGGACATCTGGATAGACAGATAGACTGACATCCGGACATTTGGGTAGACAGACAGATAGACAGACATCCGGACATCAGTATAGACAGATGGACAGACATCTGGACATCTGGATCTATAGATGAACAGAAGGACAGTTTCACCCAAAAATAGCCCTAAACAAAATTTTTGAAACAAGAATGCAAACGCGCTCTACCGGACTTTTTTTGAAAATTCTATCAATTTGTCTGATTTTTCGTTGGAAATTAGTCGCCCGGAAATGCAAATATGCTCCAGCGAGAAATTCGAAATTTCGACTCAAAAAAAGTTGAACATTCGGACACACAGACATACTTACAGACCACCTCCACCTCCAAAAAAGCACCAGTAGTGTTCAAACCGTTCGATGACTACGAGGATTTGATGATCCACAGTAAAGCGAACGGATGGTTGCTGGCGTACGATATTCAGGAGAAGAGCCTCCGTCTGATGAGCTCCAAGTGGATGTATCTTCAACCGCAAAAGGTGAGTCACCGCGCCTCACTAACCAGCGCGAGCGGGTGCATTCTTATAAACGCCCTCCGCCTCTGCTGCCTGCGATGCACGCGTGGCCTAGTGGTTAACGCCGTTGTCTGCGGTTCGAAAGGCCCCGGGTTCGATTCCACCTGGGGGTAAATTCCTTTTTCTGTTTGTTTTGATCATTTTCTATTCCGAAAAATAATTTTTTCGGTTTTTTTTGACAAAAAATCCCGAAAAAATAATTTTTTTCGGTGTTTTTCCAACAAAAAATTGAAAAAAACAATTTTTCCGTTTTTTTTCGACAAAAATCCGAAAAAAAATTTTTCGGTTTTTTTTTTCGAACAAAAATTCGAACCCCACCGTGCTCAATTCATTTTCAGTGTCTTTTTTTCCAGATGACCGATCTTGACGTCCATCTATCCGTCTCAAAGCTCCTGTCTAATCTGAAGGTGGTTGAAACGGAGGATTGAAGCTCCGCCCACCTACCCATCAATCTCGTAGATATTCTTATTCGTTTTTAAAAACCCCAATTGATTTTTTTGGATTATCGATTTTTATTAAAATCATCATAAACAAGATCATTAAACAAAAAAAATCGATAAAACCAAAAGAGTTTTTGGGGGGAAAACTGGAAAACAAAACAATATAACAGGGGTGTTGCAGAGCAACTCTCGAGGGGAATTTTGATTTAAAATATTGATTTTTTTCGATGGGAGACACTATAAAAGAAGCTACGGGCTAAAACAAAAATTAAAAAGCAAAAAAATCGATAAATTCAGAAATTTTCGAGCGGGAAAATTGGAAAACAAAACAATAGAACAGTGGTATTGCGGAGCAATACTCGGGAAATATTGATTTAAAATATTGATTTTTCAAAACGAGATGGGACACTATTAAAAAAAAGAACTACAGACTAAAACAAAACTTAAAAAAAAAACAAGAAAATCATCAATTCAGGGAGCCGGAGATTCAGGGAGCCGGAGCCACAATGTTGATAATTGCCTCCAGTGCCAGTTGTACTTTGTCCATTGCGATTTCCTATAAAAAAAAGAAAATGTTTATTATGCCTCAAATCCCAATCAGGGTTGTGCGGAAAATCACCTCCGAAAAAATGTTTCGAAAAATTTTTTTTTCGGAAAAATTCGTCCGAAAAAAATCGAAAAAATTTTTTTTGTCCGAAAAAAAATTTCAGAATATTTTGTCCGGAAGAAATCGAAAAAAATGAGAATATTTTGGAATTGGAACGTAAACAAAATTTTTTCTATTCCAATCTCGAAAATTTCAACGAAAAGCAACAAAAAAACTTAAAAAATCATCAAAATTGGCCGAAAAGTTCATTTTTCAGAATTTTTTCTTATAGATCGCCAGTGAATTACCAATTTCTCGATCGAAAAGTTTCAATTTCGCGGAATTCCGAATAAAAATTTTCGGAAATTTTGTGCCAAAAAATTATTATTTTGACACAAAATAAGTTTATTATTCAAAAGAAAAACAGCATTGTCGGAAAAATATTTTGCATTTTTGGGCTAAAAACGTTCAGTTTTGGCAGAAAAGCCCTTCGCTCGGGATAGAGTACCGGTAAACAGATTTCGAAAGATTTTGAAAAAATGTTCGGCGGAGCGCACTTTCTGAAATTTCAGAAAAATTTTTCCGAAGGGGACACTTCGCAAGCCCGTGGGCAAGTCTGTCTATCTATCTATTTATCTGCATGCCTGGATGTCCACCCCCTCCCTTACTTCATTCTGTGACTCCTGAGTTCTTCTTTTCAACGTCTGCAAAAACTTGCTGAAGAACGGGAAATCCATCGAAAGGATCGCGTTTCTGAGTAACACCAAAAAGTATCCAAGGTTGATGTAGGACTTTTCAGATGACGATTCCTGGGAGGTGGTGGATGATTTGGCAGTTTTCTTGATGATCATGAGGCAATAGTTGGCTGCACCGAGAATCTCTTCGGTCGTTACGTCCTGCAAAAAATGAAATTGTGGGTGGAAATTCTGCTGCAATCGCTACAGAAAAGCAGACAGATGGACAGACAGATGGAAAAATCCAAAAATTTCGAAAAAATCCGACAAATCATTTTTTCGATTTTTTTCGCCCTGAAGTTTTCGAAAAAAAAAGATTTTTTTGAAATTTTTTTTCGCACAGCCCTGATGCAGTTACTAGAATTGGTGAACATCCAGAAATACAGACAGACACACCCTTTTTCACTGTAGTTTGTAGTCTTTGCACCTATCTGTGTGTCCGTCTGTTTGTCTGTATTCCTGGATGTCTGTCTATTCTAGTCACGACTGTGCGAAAAAAAAATCGTAAAACTTTTTTTCGAATTTTTCAGAGCAAAAAAAATCGAAATAAAAATTTTTTTTCGAAAACTTTAGGCTAAGAAAAATCGAAAAACTTTTTTTTCGAAAACTTCAGGCTAAAAAAAATCGAAAAACTTTATTTTTCGAATTTTTTCGATTTTTTTTCTGAAATTTTCAGATTTTTTTTTCAGTAAAAATTGGATAAAATACAACGAAAAACCTTTTTTTCAGTTTTTTTCGGCGAAAAATTATTCGGAAAATGACCGAAAAAACTGAATTTTTTTTTCGGAATCTGAAATTTTCATCAAGGAATTGATGATTCACTGGCGATCTATGAGTAAAAAACTTCGAAGAATGAAATTTTTTGGCCAATTTTGATGATTTTTTGTTGAATCGTCGAGATTGGAATAGAAAAAAATTGCTTCACGCTCCAAAAAATTTTTTTTTCCGGACGAAAAATTTCTAACAGCATTTTTTTCGGTTTCTTTTTGGACAAAAAATTCCGAAAAATAATTTTTATTTTTTCTGATTTTTTTCCGACGAAATTTTCCGAAAAAAAAAGGTTTTTCGAAATTTATTCGGGCGTATAAGTCCATCTGTTTGTCTGTATTCCTGGATGTCCGTCTATTCTAATCTCTGTCTGTCCGTTTGTCTGTTTGTCCATTCCCCTATTACCTCCTTTCTCCTTCCGTAGTCCCTCATTTCCTTGATTGTTTTATCTATGTTTTGCTGAATGTTCGGTGACATTGACAGCTCGAGAGTTCGAATCAGGCCTTGAATACATTCCAAGAACATCTTGTGCTTATCCACGGAGACCACTCTGCAAAAAATTCGACATTTTTTGAGTCAAAACTAGAGAGAAAAAGAGGCAGACAGACGGACATATGGATGGACAGACAGATTGTAAGCAACCTGCTACAAATCCGGACATTCGCAATCAAGAGGAGACGCAGAAAGCTAGAGTGTCTCGTCGTCTGCGTCTCTTCAGAGTCTGATCTACAAAAACGAGGCTGAATTTGTACTGTAGCTAGGTGTGTCCGGATGTCTGTCTATCTGTCTATCTTGATGTTCGGATGTCTGTCTGTCTGTCTATCTAGATGTCCGGATGTCTGTCTGTCTGTCTGTCTGTCTTGATTTCTATCTGTCTGTCCCTCTGTCTGTCCCGATATCCTTACTCTGAAGTCGGTGGAAGCTCCGGCACTCTGAATCCATCGTCCTTTGGCTCCGATTTGACGCTTCTCAAGAAAACAACCTCATCCTCTGGAGTGACCTCTTCTTTCACTGTTGGACTCGTCGTTTCAGTGTTCGTTTCAGTGCTCACCAAAGTGGGCGGAGCCTCCGGAATGGGCGGAGCCTGTTGAATGACAGATGGGTTGTTGAGAAGCTCCTGAATGAGAGTCGTGTATCTTGAGTCTCTCTCCGAGAATGATCGAAACGGGATGCGTCTTTCTGTGTGTCCGGATGTCTCTTCTGCAGCGATTGGACGCATTTCGATGGGCTCTGGATTGTTCATGGACTCGAAATCCTCCATCATGGATTCTGGGATCTTCATGAATATAGGATCCTCGGTGGATTCTGGATTCATCATGGATTCTGGATCCTCCATCGATTCTGGCATCTTCATGAATACGGGATCTTCAGTGGATTCCTGATTTTCCATGGAATCAAGGTTCTCAGTTGATTCTGGATGATTCATGGCTTCTGGATCCTCCATGGATTCTGGATCCTCAGTGGCTTCTGGATACTCTATCGGTCCTGAATTGGCGATGGATGCCAAAATTTGAGCGATGGAAAATTGCGACATCCTACTGCAGTTTCTGGTGGGCGGATCCTCCTTCTCCAAAGGATTCGGGGATGATGGGGGAGGAGCTTGGTCCTGGAACAATCCTCCGAACATTCGTTCGAAATAGTCGTCTACTGGAGCATTCGAGACGGTCCTGAAAGCCAAATTTTTTGAAAAAACGAATTTTTTGAGCAATGCAAACTCACGATCGGATGCTTGATAGACGTAGTGGTGGCAGTTTTCGGGCTCGATGCGCCTTTCGAACATGATTTTTCTGAGAATATGGGTAGAAGTAGATGGAACTTTCGCGGTAACGGGGCCTGAAAAACGTGGGATTCTGTCTGTGCTTTGGTTCTTCCGGATGTCCATATATTGTCCTGTTGTCTGTCTGTGTTTCTAGAGGTTCGGATCAGAGCTGTGCGAAAAAAAAATTCCGAAAAAATCGAAAAACTTTTTTTTCGAGAAAAACCAAAAATGATTTTTCGGATTTTTTCGAATTTTGCTTGGAAAATTTTAGGGTTTTTTGCAGAAAAATTGAATGAAAAGGCGGTAAAAACATAAAAATATAAAGCTAAACTACCGTTTTTATCGATTTTTTTTCTATTTTTTCGGAAAATGACCAGAAAAACCCGAAAAATTTTTCAAAAATTTTGTTTTTATCGATTTTTCCCGGAATTTTTTTTCACACAGCCTGTTTCGGATCCTGTTGTCTGTCTGTATTCCTACAGATTCGGATATCCCGATATCCAGATGTTGGTCTGTATTTCTGTGTGTTTGTTTTGATGGATGTCTGTCTGTAACAACACTTTTTCTGTGTGTCCGGATGTCTTAGGAATCTGTACTCATGTCCAGATGTCTTTCCGGTGTGCCCAGATATCCGGAAAACTTAATGTTGATCGTTCTTGATATCCTGATGTCTGTCTGTGTTCCTAGGGGTTCGGATATCCAGTTATCTGTCTGTCAGTCCGCCCCTCCATTCTAATATTCACCACTTACATTCTCTCGCTTCGTCGAACACGCATTTGTGATGATGTACTTGGTTTATCTTCCATATTCTCCTCTTCAATTTCAT